AAAATATATAGCTAAAATTAATATATAAGTTTTTATTAAAAAAATTAAACTTTTTAATAAAAACACAGGCAAATTTGTCTGTATTACAATTTAAGGGATAACCCTGTGTTACTCTGTATTACATCATTAATATATCATTAAAAATTATTGCCGCTTGTTTATCCTTGAACTGCTCTCATATTTAATACTGCTTGTTCTATTTTCATATACTAATAGCTAATATCTGGTCAAAAAGCATAATATCCTTCATAAATAAGAGAAGAAAAAAAAAAGCACAAAAAACAATTTGCAAAAAAAAACAAAAAAATTTGCAAAAAAAAAAAAAAATCATCACATTATTGAAATGCCAGAATACTAAATTAACCAATACTTTATTGGTATTATTGAGATCTAGAACGGAATATAGTATATATAGTTTAGACTAATACAAAAAAAAAAACTTACGAATTGATATGATCAATATTTTCTTGATTCTCTTGAATAAAAGAAGTTAATTCACTCCAGGAAACTCGCCTATGTGACTTAAACTTCTTACAAGCATATTCGGCCAATTTTCCTATCAGCCCTTCACGATATAAATCTATATATTGTCAGAACTTTCGAGCAAATCTTCTGATTATAATAACGTCAATAGAATCGAGTACCTGTAAAACGGTTTTTTGTAAACTAGCTCATGAATAATCGCGTTGATTTCTTGTATAGAATTTAGTCGTGCCCTAATATATTTCAATAAAATTAAGTTTACAGTGATATTTTGGATAAAAAATACATAAGTGGCCAGCATTTTCTATTAATTCAACAACAGCTGACTTTTGTGCAAAAAAGTCGGGTTGTGAAGCCATAATCTTTCTTGCACAACAATTTACAAGTAAGAGATTATTCTCTAATTTTTTATCTTACACAGCTTATATTTTAAATGTAACCCATCTCTCCAAAGACCTCTTTCTTGCAATACTAATTGTAGTCCTTTCGGCTTTCCTCGCATAATAGAATCCCCACAGTTTTCTTCAAAAACCATCTGCTGCATTCTTTCAATTCCCCCAGAACCAAAAAAAGTCATTGATCGCATTACTGGCTGGTTTCTACCAGGACCTAAGTTCATTCTTGATACAACAAGGGAGTCTTTTGTATATACTGCATGGTTGGTACTGTTATTAAAGGCAAAGACGGCAGTTGCATTGAGAAATTTTGCTTTAAATATAGGGATAGCTTTATCTCTTATTTGATCTAATAAATGATCAACTATCTAATAACTTTCTTGGTTTTTACCAGATATAAGGTAACAACAGGATTCCACAGAAACATCTGGATACATTTCTGCCTCCTCACCAGTTAATTTTAGCTGACCACATTCTTCTATAAGAAATTTGCTTACCATGATTGACCTTCTATTTTCTTTTTTTCATAAGGGCATCTCACTATCAAGCACCCAAATCCTTTTTTTTCTATCATTCACATAAAACATGTATTCATCGTGGGTTACGAAAACTAATTCTCGTTCCCTTCCATTAAGCACTAGCAGAACCTTTTCTATTACTTCCCCTTATATGTTGCTATTTTTTGCTCTAACGTTCTCATTCTATCTAAAAACACATGTCGATATGCCACAATATCATTTTGCTCATGCCTGTCAAAGTATATTCCCTTTGTATATTCCTTATACCTATATTCTAAAATATTTAACCACCTTTCCACTGTTCATAGACTATTTTTTTTTTGAGACCCTTCTATACACTCTGGCAAAATAAAATCGTTTATATATTGCATAAAACAAGTTGGATTGATTTCATTTACTCTTGCTTCTTTACATATTTATTCTTTATATTGCAAAGCAACATCTTCATCATTAATAAGTCAGTGGCATTTTTGGTGCTGACTACGTTGTATAACTGGAAATAATCTATAATGTAAATAGAATTTAGCTAAAAAGCAAATTCTCTGGGATGTATATGGTTTTGAAAAAATATAAGTGACACATGCAGCCTCTTCACTTGCTTTCATTTTGCTATCACTATCTTCTAACCATACAAAATATTCATAAACTACCTGTTGTTCATTATATTCAATAGATGTTGATTTTTTTGATTTTTTGTAAGATCTTCTCTAAGCTGTTCAATTCCTTTATAAAGTATAAATTCATCTGAAGGAGGTGCCAAAGACCTACTTAATTGAGAGAACTTGGAATAGGCCATAGCTCTACAGAAAAACTCACTTGCCCAGGAAGTTATAAGAAACATAGAAAATGTGGGAGATATTGAAAACCTGCTGGGAAATTTACTTAATAATAATAACAATAATTAGAATTTTTTAACATACAGTATAATACAGTAATTAAGCAAAAGCTAAAAACCTTTACCAATCTCGTAGCTTTAAAAAAGCCAGTAATTTTATAGATTCCCTTAGCAGTATATGTAAGTGTGCCTGAAGCACCAAACTTATGATAGTATGTTGATTTCGGTAAGCCTTTAATTATTCTTGCATTTTTTTTTATTTTCATTTCACAAATGCTAGGGCTCTTGTTATTTCCTCTTCCTCTTCAAGTTCATTTTCACTTTCATTCTCATCAAATTCGCTGCTTTCAGCAGATATATCATTAGAAAAGACATCTTCAGAAAAGACATCTTCAGCAAAGACATCTTCATCACAGATATCTTCAGCAAAAATATTTTCAGCCCAAACATCATCTTCAGGAAAATCATCACCCAAGACATCCACAATGTCCTTCTTTTGCCTTTTTTTGGCTTGCTTACTTCTTTTATTGTTATATTCTTGGAGTATTTGATGCACTTTATTCTTTTGCTTTGGCATGTTTTCTTGATCGATTCTTACAAAATCTTGCGAAGGAAAAAAAAAAAAAAAAAAAAAAAGAGAGAGAAGAAAGAATTTTTATATTTTTATATAAAAGTACCCAAATTATTCAGATTAAAATACCCGAAAAGAAAGCTTGACAAGAAAAAAAAAAAAAAAAGTGAAAAGCCCGAATTCTGTGTACTTACATTTCCTTCTTTGTGTACCCCCGCATTTCCTTTTTAGTTAAGTTATTAGGAGTATGAGAAAAATTTTACATGCCTTTTGCACTAACTGCTAAAGGCACTTTTTTCACGCTCTGGTTTTTTGAATAAGCATTTCTTTCAAAGCATATACAAGGTCAATTATTATTTATCTGAAATTCTGAATCTTGTAAGTATATATCTGACGTTTGATTGACTAATAAAATTTTGAGTATACACGCCATTAAATTCAATTGGTCAACCCAAGTTACGTTTTTTGTCCCATTTGGCATTAACATATACGAATTGGGTATTTTTAACCAATTATAAATTAAGAATAAATAAATACTTTTTTTAAAAAAAAGCTGCTAAGTTATACTGTAGTAAGTAGACTTAGCTACAATTTAGTGGCTTTTTTTTGTTTGTATTATTTTTGTAGTATAGGTTATTAGTCTTTAAAAATTAATAAATTTATTTTAGTCTTTAAGTGTTGTGCACTGTAGTATTAAGTATGAAAGAATTCAAGCTAAGATACAAGTGAGAAAATGAATTCGTTGAAAAACCAGTTTGCTCATTTGTCAAGATGATTGGAAAGGTAATAAATAGAGTAGAGTGGATATTTATATAAAGTAGCCAAAATAAAATATACCAAGAATAAAAGACTTTATAGTGTTGACCAATTTTTTATAAAGTGAATTAAAGAAGCAGAATCATACTTTCAAGTCAAACATGATACAGCTCTTCAAATTAAAATGTATAAACAATATGTTACCAGTTATAGAAAAACTAAATCAGAAAAAACCAAATATATACAAAACCAATATATATATTATATACAAAAAAGAGATAAGCTGTGAAGTTTTAATAGCTTTATTATAATAAATAAAAGAACACATTGTAGAAATAATCTTTGCAGAAATAAAGAAAACAGAAATGTATATGGAAAGAAAGAATAAGTTCTAGTGATGATGAGAAAAAGAAGTTTAGCTAAAGAGGCTCAAAGAAAAAAAAAATAGATTAGAAGTTTAATTACAAAAGAAGACTTTGATAAGCTAAAACTACCTTTTGCCTCTAATAAACTAGCAGAACAATTCATAATAAGGCTCTGAAAAAACTAAATACAACAAATTCATGAAAAGATATAAGTTGCAAGATGCAAGCTAGTACAAGACTAGAAAAAAAAAACAGGTATAACTCAAAAAAAAAAGGAAGTAAGCATATAAAGAGAAAAAGAAAAAAAAAAAAAAAAAAAAGAGAAAAGAAATCAGTATCTAATATTTCTTAGGAAAAAATAAATAAAACAGAAACGATTGATGAAAAGTAGAAAAACACTCTTGAGATTACTAAAAAGAAGATTTAAGTTGAATTAAAAGTGGCCAATAGGCAGAATGGTAGAAATCAAAGTAGTAGTCTTGACAGGTGTAAGAACTATCTAATAAAGTACTAATGAACTTAGTTGCAGAGAAATTTAGTATGAAGGTAAAATCTTACTATAGCAAGTTGTATATAGATATTCTTTAAACAATCAGGTAAGCTAATACTTGTAATTTTAGATATCAAAAGAAATAGCTTTTTGAAAAATTTTTAATATTTTAAAATAGAATACTGTATTACAAAATCTAATAAAGTAAAGACAAAACTGTCAAATTTAAAAAAAAAAAAAATTATATTTCCAACCTATTGACTAGACAATTCATATTAGCTATATACTAGACAAATTACAAATAGATTACTTAAAAGCATGCTTTTTAATTGAAATTAATACTTTTCATTTTTTTAGTATAAAATACCTATAATATGATATGAAACTTTTTTTATATGCAATTATTTTTTCACAAGCTTTTTATTATTTGTTTAAAATTTTGTTCAAGAAATAAAATTAACTATTTTAGATGGATAATACTCTTCAAATTAGTTATTTTATTTTTTATTTTTATTTTTTTTTCTTTAATAACCACATACTAAAATTTTATTAAGACTAAACTACTTAATGGTTAACTAGACTAAAAGCTAGCTGTCTCTTAAAGATACCCAACTTTGGTTATCACACTGATGATTGCCACTATATCCCACATACAGTATTTATATTTAAAGATATAGTATAGCTTGGGCTCAGCTCCCAACATGTCAAGACCTCACTTTCTCTTCAAATTCTTCCTTCTTTTCAAGGAGCACAAGACAAAAGGGAAAAAAGTTTAAACAAAGAAATTATGAAAACAACTAACAAAGAAAAAAAACTAATAAAGCAAGAAAAAAAAAAACAGATTGCAAAAAAGAAAAAATATAAAAAGAAATCTAAGATTCTAAAGGCACTATTATAATCCATACAAGGCTAGTAAAATTGTATAACAAATGCAATGTTTGTATATCTCTTTTGTAAGGCTTTATTTTAGCATTAAAGTTACTTTCCAATCTTCTTACCAACTCTGAATTGCTTCATTGCCCATCTTAATTCATATCTCAAGCCAGGTGCTGCCATTGTTCAAGGGTTATACTTACTCTAACTCAAGAAGAATTTGTATTTCAAGCCACTTACTGCCGTAATTAGAGTTCCCAGGCCAAGTTTTATAAAATAGCACTATACCTGTTCATAAACAAACATGTGGTTGCATTTCGCTAGTCTGTCCAAATTTGAGAAGTAAACAATACTGATTTTTTGGAGAGGGTAAGCCAAATTCTCACATTTTATTGAACTTTTTTAAAAGACCAATGAGGAGACGAGAGTGAGCAAAAGAGGAACCACTTAACCAAATAAAAAAAGTGCGGCTTAAGAAAACCATATTTCCTATTGTTTTTCTTGTATTCTTCTTTGAAGTGGTGACCTAGAAGCTTCGTTGATGAAGTTGAGCTTTACCCACCCTTTACCAAGATTTTTTATACAAGGGCACCTCTTGCCAGTTATCTTGTATAAGAACACTCCTGGCTTGCATGCCAAATATCCCTTTAGAGGAGTCCCATAAGCAAAGATGTTGACCTCTAGACAAACCGCTGTATAGGCCCTGACTCTCTAGCAAAAATTATGTTTTTCTGTTAGTAGGAATTTTGGTTTTAGTGATTGTCGGAAAGAGATTGATATAGTATGCAAATTAGTTATTTTAATATATTATTAAATATTAAATTTATTTATTCAATGCTATTATAAAATTATTTTAACAATAGAATCTTACTAACTATAACCAGTAGTGATCATCACCAGGGTGCTTATATCTCAAAAACGTACTAAGTAAACAGAATCAGGTTCTCTAAGTAAAAATGTTCAGGACCCCCAAAAACCTCACAAAAACTAAAATTGGGCCCTATTGGGCCCTTATAGTAGCTCTATATTATATTATATAAAAAAAAACAATAATTCTTAATTTTCTAACCCTAACCTTAAATATATCTAGAGGTGGTGATAATCACCACTGGTTATGTCCAGGACCCCAAAAACCTCACGAGAACTGAGATCGGGCCCTATCGGGTCCTTATAGTAGCTTTATATTATATTATATAAAAAAAACAATAATTCTTAATTTTCTAACCCTAACTCTAAATATATCTAGGAGTGGTGATGATCACCACTGGTTATGTGTATTATATTTCTTAACAATATGTAACAATATAAAACTAACTTACTAGTAACATCTTTAAGTTTCTCTATTATATAAAATAAATCTTGAACTCCTACTGAAATTTTGAAGCTATCCTCTTTAATATTTTTAAAAGGTTTTTTATTTAGATTAAAATATTTATCAATAGCTTGCTACTATGCAAATATATAATTACAAAGATATTGATATTAATGCTTATCAAATAGTAATACAATATATTATTATATTATTAATCTGAAATTCTCCTAAAAAAAATATAGTTATATAGTAAATTTTAATAAATTTTTTTTTGATTGTGAATTTTTTTTCTTCAAATATTTTATTAGCATAATTATGACAGTAGAAAATAAACAAATATCACATTATTGTTTATTTGTTTTAAGTGAAGTGATATTTATTTATTAGTTAATTTATTTTATATTATGTTATATTAAATGTATAAGATTTGGAAAAAAAAATTAAAAATTTTGAATGAATTTTTAAAAAAAAAGATTTTCATTTTCAAAAAAAAAAAAAAAACTTATTTAAAAAAAAGAAAAAATTTTTTTAAAAAAAACCATCTTTAAGAAATTTTATATAAAAAAGATTATTTTAAATAAAATTTTATAAAAAAATATAAATAAAATAAAAATTTTTATATACTACACACTTTTAAAGTATACAAATTATCTTTATTGAATGAAATATTTAATAAAGTAATAATTTGCAGTAATTCATTGAAGGCTTTAAAAATATATATTTCTTTAGGTGTGTGAGTAGGCTCTACTTACCCAAATTTTCTATTTTTATTTTTATCTTGAAAAAACAATTCATTGAGTATTTCAATAACTTTAAAATTTCTAATTTCATATTTTAATAGGTGATTTACTAGTCACCTAGACAAAAAATTTTTTTTTTATATATAAATTTTATTATAATTGTAAAAGCACAGCGTCTCTATCTAAAACTTTTTTTATACTAAGTAAATCCTTTTGGCTTCTAACAAAAGTTGTAGAGCTTACCAAAATGTATATAATACTAAAAGGATATTAAAATTGGCCTGGTAGTTTTTAAAAAAACTTCTTTTTCATATATAAAATTTCTTTAAAAAAACAATTTTTTTTAAAGAAATTTTATATATGAAAAAGAAGTTTTTTAAAGATTTCTCAAGAACTACTAGACCAATTTTAATATTTTTTTAGTATTATATACATTTTGATAAGCTCTACAACTTTTGTTAGAAGCCGAA